CTTGCTTGCAACATTAGTAAACAAGATGAAGATAGGTAGATGCACCCCAGTGCAAAAATCTCACAGGGTGGAAGCAAGGGCAGCAAAGGTAGGAAGACTTGGGTCAAGGTCCCACTTGCAAGCACGAGGCGACATGCCTACAGGTCCATGCCTAACTCTCCCCCAGAATCACCAACAATTCAGCCTGTTGAGGCACCACCTCCTTGGGAAGACTTTCCTGACAATACTTATGAGCAGGACCAAGGCTCCTTTGAGCCTTTGCAACTCCCAAAAACCATGGCAAGTTCATGTACAATGTTGGAGTGTCATTTAAACTATGGCTAAGCATTCAAAATACAGAGTCAAAATGACTACCTCAGGCAATGGCTGCCAAGGCAGGAATCATATCTACATCACCTCCTTGATCGAGAAGCTCCACCAGAAGACAGGAGATGCATCATCTGCGAACAGGATGGGGTGTACAAATGTCAAGATTGTCTTGGCGAGCCACTCTATTGCACGGGCTGTTGCAGGAGTCAACATCGTAGCAATCCTTTCCACTGGATCAGTCAATGGAATGGGCGATTCTTTGAGCGGAGTTGTCTCGCTCATGTGGGACTCATTATACACTTGGCCATGATGGCAAACAATGTCCGGAGGTCACTGATCGGTGAATTTGTTTGAAGAAGATGAACCTGAAGACCTGCTCGAGCCTGAAGATCTGCCATTTGTGTCCGGACCCGAGTTCCAGCCAAAGGAAAACACCATGGTCATTGTAGACAAGTCCGGAGTTCATCGCCTGGAGATTCGATGTTGTGAATGTCCGAATGCCATGAGTCCGGACATTCAAATGTTTCGACACAGATTTTTCCCTGCATCTTTCAACAGGCCAAAGACTGTGTTCACCTTCAGAGTGCTCAATGATTTTCTACTGGACAGCCTTGAATGCGGCACCTCGGCGATGAACTATTACAGCAAGCTCCGGCGAATGACCTCCAGCATGTTTCCACACCTTGTTCCGGTAATGCCTTACCCTCTTCATCTACTGGACATCATATTGACAAAGCACATTGCAAGGACCGATACAGAGAGCTCATGAGGGTCGCTCGACAGTGGAGGCAGTTGAAGACAATGAAATGGCATGGCTTTGGCCATCGTTCTGATAACCCGAGCACAGGAGAACTCGCATTATTTTGCCCGGCGTGTCCTCAGCCAGGGATTAATGTGCTGTTGTCAGAGGATGAATTGCTTGATGAGTGAGTCCTATTCTCAACCAATGTGGCCTCCATAATAATACTAGCGATCCAAGCTGGAAATACACCCGGTCATTTGTGATGGATGGAAATTTCAAAGCCGAACATCTGCATCCCATTAAGCCATTCGATGAAGTTTGGCTTTCCGATGGGCTTGGATTCATGGTAGGAAAGGACAGGTATAAAATGCATCTGGCAGAGGCTGCTGACATGGTGGAAAAATCAAGCTGCAACAACCACCGGGCAGTAAATCAAGCTAATGCTGCTCGGCACAAGCTGGAGTCCACCGGTATCGGGGGAGTTGCCTGTGCCAGACACGGTTGCTTTGTCCCTCACTCCATGGTGGATTTTCAGAAAGGCGAAAGGCAAGCCACATCCACCATTCCTCATTCACGAGTTAACCATGGGTCACTTGCAGACAAATGAACATGGACTACGCCCTTGCGAGGCTTCCCGGCACAACATGGAAGGCATCACCAGGGCTGTCACCTTCTATGATATTAATTGTCAATACAACAAACACTTTCGGGTTCGGGTGGATCGAAGTCGATTTCTAGACATGGCACCACAACTAACCATCATTCCCGGAATTGGGTTGTGTTACAATAACATGTAACCGAGAACCCCTCCTACGGAGGTCATCATGACCTTAGCCCCTATCCCACCATATGCACCGTCTTGGAAGACTTACCGACTCAACGGAGACTCGTAGAGATGCCTAGAATGGCCTGGATGCCGTTAGATGACCTAGACCAGCCTAGGCAACATCTGGACGGACCTTGATGATCCTCGACCCGGATCATGAGGAAGCTCTGCCTCATGGTCAGAAGACAAGCCGCATGCCTCAGCATGCGCAGTTAGACTCAAAGGCATGCTACGCCTTGAGGACAGATAAGAGAGGCATGGTAAGCCTCATGTATAGATAATCGACCACATGGCATCAGATAAGATGCCCTTGTATAGACACACTTACAGCTACCTACCGAACGTAGTATTGGTCTGTGCACACGGACGACAGTATATAGAGCAGACAGAATCATGTATATTCCCTACTTGATTCTACTAGGTTTTCATCAGAACTTCCTCTGTGTGATCATCCCAATCACTCAGTCTAAGCCGCACCTTAAGGAAAGCCGACGCTACCTTAAGTGGAACCCCCGAACCTCTCATTCGAGAGAAGATCCCCGTCTCTCCAATAGCGAGCCCGCTATCAGATTAGGCAATCCGCCTAGGGAGAGCTCGAACTATCCTAGTCCGTAACAGGTTGTGGCACATTCATGGCCATCAGGACAGCTGCTATGTCCGACATGCTTCTAACTTTATTGAAGGCATTGGTCGGATCGATGGAGAGATCATGGAGACGCTATGGGCACGGCTCAATCTGATTTCCCCTGCTGCTCGGGGAATGTCATCTCCCCACCGAAAGGAATGCCTTGATTATCAGATGAATGACTCCAATTTCTGCAAGATGATTCGCATGAAAAGGACTCTATGCCGGAAATACAAGCTGGCGAGGAATGGCATCTCGGAAAGTGGAAAGGCATTCGACAGACTCGATGAAGCAGCACCCTCACATTTGAAGACAGAATGGTTAGCCAGGGAGAGGATAGCTCAGTCAAGCAGATTGAATGATCCTGCGGCGATGGATGAATATGAGATCAATATAAAAAAGGGTACGTTGAGTTCCATTGTCTCCATCGAGGTCGGAATTAATATTGCACTCAGCACCAAGCAAAAAGGAGATCGAGCTTAGATTATTAGAGGAGGGTAACGCCCGCAATGCAGCACCCTCTCGCAGATCTGTGGCGACGTGGATATCAACAGGGTTAGCAATTGAAGAGGCTCAGATTGCATTGCTCATCGAGGTCTGAAGGATCGGAAGAAGATCCACTGAGACACAGAGATTAGACATTGCCCGTCAACGCGATCGGCTCCAAGGCCAGATAGATGGATTTGCTCGGTCTGCTCTAACACATCTCGGGGAGGGATTTGATGCAGATGATGAACCTGAGGACTTGAACGTAGACATTCTAGATGATCTCGATGATGACCCGGCGGATTTCACAGAGACATCTCATACATGGACAAACTCTCCCGAGCTCACTGTAATCCCGTTGCCATCAAACCTGGGTGTTGATAGATGCAGACGATGCATGGCAGAGGATCTGATTCCCCTGGAGATGTCTCTTCGTGAAGGGCAGGCCAATGATGCCCTTCACAATCTCCGCATTTACCTTTGCAACAAGGCCATCCTGTTCCGAACAACCGTTCGGCAGGCCAAATCCCAGGCCCTGAAAACTCGAGCTTGGTCCCAGGTGACGTCGGTGCAGCAGGCAGTCTCCCTCCATGCCAGCATATATACAAAGACCAGGAAGCAAATGATGAAACTTGAGCCGGGGCAAGACCAGCTTCAGAAATACAAACCCCTGCTTCGCGAGCAACTCAAAATCAGCACTGCAGTGGGTGACCCAAATGCCCGAGGTCAACGAAATGAATCTTTGGCTTGGTTTTGGTCTGTTGAAGTCGACCTCAGGGGTCCCGATCAATCGTGGAATGAGGAATGTGAGTTCCTGCTTGCATGTCATATCCCACGGTTACCTGACTGGACCCATGCCAAGTTTACCAAGTCCATTGGCTGCGGGCAAAGGCACTACGAGATCGATGGAGGGAAGAAATGATATTGGTCAAATTGGAGATGGATTGGACATGTAAGTTCTTTTTGTGGAAAGCAACCCAATGGGGCGACCACATGCAGGAATCATTGGAGAACCGCCTTCCGAGTCACGGATGCTATGCCGGAAGGCAATTGCGAATGTATTCATTGCTCGCACAGGATGCGCAGGCAGCTTTTCAAGACCTACAAAATGTGTTGATAGAGGCTGGAGATGAATGAACATTGTTTTCTCATGAAGTCCCTTTTTCCACATACATAATTGAGGCCCGGGAATTGTCCGGGTCAGCCCATGTCGGAGTTTGAATTTCGTATCCATCCATCAGTGATTCTTATCTTCACATCTTCACCATCTTTCACTTGCATTGCCAGCACCATAGTCCTGTATTAGCCATGCCTGCAACTCCTGCATCCACTTCTGGCACTCTGAATGCCGGAAGCCATTACCGACCCCTGAAGCTGAGCCTTGGAACTATTTCCTGCACATTGGCAATGGCTGGATCGCGGGTCTGTGCATGCATCTCTCAATATCAGACGGAAGCTGCCAACAATGGTCTATCTTCTGACCGGATAAAGTATTTTAAAGCTGGGCTGCAATGGGAGATGAATGTATGTTACCACTGCCCTGATGACTTTGTTGGTCAATGCTAAAAATTTGAGCAGACTTTTGTCACACCACTCCTGCAGTACTCAGCTTCACAGAATATCGTGTCGGTTCTTCCGGTCCCTGTCGCTTATATCCTTAAGTTGTATCCCATGCTAACCTGGAACACGGTTCCGGACGACGTCTTTTCATTCCACCTCCTTTCATTTGATGATGAGGCAATTGCAGGACATCCGTCCCGGATTGTGTTTGCATATACATGTCCATGGTGGATGGGAAACACCACAATCCCGGATCAACCATGGCAGTGGGATGAAATAATGGCTTCCTGCGTCTCTCACTACCAGTATTGGGCGGTAAGATGTTAGCTGAATTGCCTTGATTGATGACTTATCTGTTCTAGCTTAATGTTGAGGATGATGCTTTGGTTCTTCCAGAGAAGTTGAGAAACACTTCGACTCCACCACTTATGGGACTGAGGTGGATTAAAGAACACATGGAAGCATTGATGGAGGAGCAAGATGAGGGCATCAAAGCCAAGATGGCAGAGGTGAAGATGTACACTGACATGTTAGAGAAATTGAGGAAAGGCAAAGGAGTGTAGTCCCATTCAGTGTTCATTGTATACAAGATGTAAAATATTCTATGCATTCAAAAATCTTGCACCCGAGTCCCGGAAGCCCAGGTCCCGAGTCCCGAATTTCGGAGTTCGGGGTTCGGCGACCCGGAGCTCGGCAACTGTGTTGGGTGTCAGGGTATCCGGAGCATTGGAGATAGCATGTGTCAGTATTTTGCGTTTCATGGTTCATGTTTGGCTGACACATGCGATCTCCAATGCTCCGGATACCCTGACACCCAACACAGTTGCCGAGCTCCGGGTCACCGAACCCCGAACTCCGAAATTCGGGACTCGGGACTCGGGTTTCGGGACTCGGGACCTGGGTTTCGGGACTCGGGACTCGGAGCTCGTGACCTGGGACTCGACAGTGTTCTGAATACCGAGTCCCTGATGCCCGATTCTATAATCACGAAAGATTCCATAATCACGAAAGATGAACCATGAAACGCAGAATACTGACACATGCTATCTCCAATGCTCCGGATACCCTGACACCCAACACAGTTGCCGAGCTCCGGGTCACCGAGTCCCGAAGCCCGAGTCCCGAGTCCCGAATTTCGGAGTTCGGGGTTCGGTGACCCGGAGCTCGGCAACTGTGTTGGGTGTCAGGGTATCCGGAGCATTGGAGATAGCATGTGTCAGTATTTTGCGTTTCATGGTTCATGTTTGGCTGACACATGCGATCTCCAATGCTCCGGATACCCTGACACCCAACAGTTGCCGAGCTCCGGGTCACCGAACCCCGAACTCCGAAATTCGGGACTCGGGACTCGGGTTTCGGGACTCGGGACTCGGAGTTCGTGACCTGGGACTCGACAGTGTTCTGAATACCGAGTCCCTGACGCCCGATTCTATAATCACGAAAGATTCCATAATCACGAAAGATGAACCATGAAACGCAGAATACTGACACATGCTATCTCCAATGCTCCGGATACCCTGACACCCAACACAGTTGCCGAGCTCCGGGTCACCGAGTCCTGAAGCCCGAGTCCCGAGTCCCGAATTTCGGAGTTCGGGGTTCGGTGACCCGGAGCTCAGCAACTGTGTTGGGTGTCAGGGTATCCGGAGCATTGGAGATCGCATGTGTCAGCCAAACATGAACCATGAAACGCAAAATACTGACACATGCTATCTCCAATGCTCCGCATACCCTGACACCCAACACAGTTGCTGAGCTCCGGGTCACCGAACCCCGAACTCCGAAATTCGGGACTCGGGACCTGGGCTTCCGGGACTCGGTATTCAGAACAGTGTCGAGTCCCGAGTTCACAATGTCGGGGTTCAGGGTTTTGTCAAATGTGTACGGCAATAACAAATGTTAATTTGAGCATATTGATACATCTTCCCCCAGTCTCAAATATCAAGTGCTGAGGTCCGGGTGTCGGGACTCAGTACCCCGGCACTCGGGACTCCCATATGTCAAGTCCCGAGTTCCGATTATCGAATACCGAGGCTCGCATCCAAATTATTCAGTCCCATATATCACTTCGCAAATGCTCACAATTGAGTATTGAGGTCCAGATAACTATTGGTACATGGTATTCATTTGTTGGAATGTATATAGGTCACAATGCATGCTCTTTGTTTGATCTTTCACACACTGTATGGACCATCCACACTAGCCCATCCACATGATGGAACACCAGCGTAAATGTGAACAGAATCCCTCATATACCATGCCCAAGCAATCCGATCCCCTTCCACATCATAAACTCCATGTCTCACAATCCTTCCGGAAAACGCAATCATACAGCCGGAATTGTACTTGAACTCCAGCTGAAGGCTTGGCATTGTCATCCGAGCATTAGAATAGTTCCCCACGGTGGTGAGAATGTCGAAGCATTCAGCAATGGACAAATGGTCTCGATGATTTGGGGTTTCCCGATTGGAAATGATGGAGAGGGTGTTAAACACCGATGCCCAGTACTGCAGGGCCTCCGGCATCTGTGGCAGATCCTTGCTTACTGCTATATGTCCGAGGTTTGACAAGGTTCGCAACCCTGCCCAGTACTGCTCAGGATGCATGACTCTGAGTGCTGCGGACGCGATGGCTGCTGGCCTTGAAATGGCTTTGAGGATATTCTCGCAGGAAGGTCCCTTCAATGATGCAGATACCTCCGGATCAGACACATTCTTTGGGATTGGTGAGTATGACTGCCGGAATCACCATCTCATCAGATCCTACCTCGTGTCCCTGTTGAAACCATGCCGGAGATAAATTGATGCATCCGGGAGTTGCCCCAACATCTTCCGAGCCCCGGTTGAACCACTTTTGATTAGTTCGCCAATTGCCATCAGCCCTTACACTTTTTTCGAGGCTTGGAGCGAGCAAATTGGTGGCTTCCCTGATTTCCTTCTGTAGGTTCCATTTGATATTCAATATCCATTGAGTAACAATGTATATTACACACCTGGGTGGTGTCGGTCAGGGCGTCTGGGAGGTACCATGCGATGATGGCACCGGATGCATCGAGAATTGTGGCAGGTTCGTCGACCAACCTTTTGCCTTCATGGCCAGGAGGACACCTCTCAAGCAACCTAGCCTCTCTCTGTTCATTATGCCCGGTGTCCTTCGGGGAGATCAATTTGCTATATCTTGCAATATCCACCTGCATCTGAACTGTCATGCAGGAATTTGAATGATAAAACGAATTTTCCGAATCTGCAGGAAGACCCACTGGGATTTTTATATGCCTTTATGAGTACATCAGCCAAGCGATCGCACGCCATCACCAGATCAGTGTCTAGGTTGGGGGAAGGTATGACTGGGCCTCCTCCAGTCTTCTCTGCCTTGAATTTCTGTTCGGTATATTCCCCTGCTTCATAAGTCACAGTCAGGGCCCAAGTGCGCCAGATGTTTATACTATCAGGAGTGGAAGGGGAAGAACCGTTCATGCTGGATGTTAATCTTGGGAAATCAGACACTGAATGCTGAATGTCCGGACTTTGGTGTTAAAGGGGGTGGAGATAGAGAGGATCAGATAAGGGAGCCTGAGATAATTTTGGCTGTCAAAGATGTATTATTATCCATTGCTCAATGAAATACTACCTGATTGGAAGTGTGCTGGTCATCAGATATTCATTTGTCGACTCCCGGGTCCCGGAACTCGGAAGTCGGTACGGTTGACCCAAATTTGGGTGGTCGGAACTTGGCTTCTTGTAGGGAAACACAAGCCTCGCACCCCGGATTCCAAATTCTGCAAGACAACCTGTGCACCATCAAAGGCCATGTCAGGAGATCACCTGCTGCTCCGGGAACTCGGTAACTTTGATTTATTACCTCCTCTGAGTACGGTTGACTCACATTTTGGTGGTCGGAACTTGGCTTCTCGTAGGGCAACACAAGCTTCGCACCCCGGATTCCACATTCTGCAAGACAACCTACGCACCATCAAAGGCCATGTCAAGAGAGCACCTGCTGCTCTCTTCAGAAACATCTCAACTTCGGTTGGCCATTTAACACGGAAAGTATTAACTAAATTATGTGTTGAGTTCCGGGTCCCGGAACTCGGAGCTCGGTACAGTTGACTCAAATTCTGGTGGTCGGAACTTGGCTTCTCGTAGGGCAACACAAGCTTCGCACCCCGGATTCCACATTCTGCAAGACAACCTGTGCACCATCAAAGGCCATGTCAGGAGATCACCTGCTGCTCCGGGAACTTGGTAACTTTGATTTATTACCTCCTCTGATTTGGTTGATGTACAACTACCTCAGCTCCATCATGTCTACAATTATGATACACATGGGCCCACCCATCTATATTTTATACCACCCTCGGCCCACCCGTCTAATACAACATCCCATACAACACCCTCGGCCCACCCATCTAATTAATATGCGTCTGGGCCCACCCGTCTAATACAATATTTTATAATACCCTCAGCCCACCCGTCTAATTTAATATGTGTCTGGGCCCACCCGTGAATGTGATAACAAGTACCTACCCATCTATCTCATACACATCTACCTTAATACACCCATCTGCATAATATCCAACTACCTCGGCCCACCCGTCTACCTAATATTCATGTACATCGGCCCACTCATCTACTCTATATATTCCCTGCATGGGCCCACCCGTCTCCATTGGGAATAATTTGCCTCCCGGCCCATCCGTCATAGTTGAGGATATTTTTATCATGGGCCCATGGTCCGCTGGCCCGTATCATACGGGATATTATGCATGTCCGTTCCCTCGTATTATACGGAGATAGGTCACTGTAATATGTGACGATACCCGGGCCTCAGGCGCCCTGATGATAAAACACAGAAGAGAAAGCCTGGAAGATGCCGGCTTAGTAAGCGGTCTGGACTGCATATGACGACATAGGTCTAGAAGACCTATTTATGTTATCAAGATAGAAGGCAAGCCTCGTGTTGCCTCATGTACCGATAGAAGGACACCTTGTGGTCCTATCTTAAGATAGAAGCCTGCCTCATGCATGGTATCTCTGACTCGATAGATAAGCAGATTAGAACCCAGCTTCAAGCTGAGCTTAGATACGATAGAGTAGCCTTATATAAGGACGAGGATTAAAGTAGATGCTCCTTACTTTAATCTTACTTGGTTCTCCCTTGAACTCGCTGTCTTGCTAAAGCTACCTGCTTGACATAGCCCCCGCTATCATCGCTACGTAACCCCTTGCTCATCGACGAGCTTCATACACTCGTCAACCAGCAAGCTACGCCAGCGTACGCAACCTTTGGTTGTCTCCAGAGGCCGACGACTCTCAGCACTTGGTACTACTGTCGTAGTTGTCGCTGTTAGAACCATCCAAGTTGCACACGACTGCTTTGTCGTAACACGTTGATCGGTTTGATGACCTACTACCATGAGGCTGTCATCCACACAAATGAGCTTTTGGGCTCTCTTGTCAAGGCAGAGAACAAGATTCAAACTCGTGTCAAGATCGGCTTAAACAGTAAGATGCCATCCTGTTTCCCTCCTGTTGTCTTCTACACACCGAAGGAGCTTGGTGGTCTTGGAATGCTTTCGATGGGTCACGTTCTTATCCCGCAGAGTGACTTGCGATGGTCCAAGCAAACTGACGTTGGAGGTTCGTTCACTCTCTTCTTTGATAATCATCTTCTGGCTTACAATTCGTTTGATCAGTGACGCATTTCCATGCTGGTATGACCCACGAGGAGGACCAGTTGATTCCGAACTTGTACAGATATCTTCAGCCATGGGAGGCAGAATTTTTGGATTCGGCTCGTGTTTGGTCCGAATACTCCATGAAGCGGAAGGAGGCCAATGCCCAGAATCGGCGCCTCACCCTTGAAGATCTTGAAGATAGCTGGGACCGTGGTATTCCTCATATCAACACCCTCTTCCAAAAGGATCGCCATACATTGGCATATGACCGAGGTTGGCGTGGGCGGTGTTGAGGGTATCTTGGAGCACACGCTCTTCAAAGGAACTTATTTCCCTACCTGGGAGGGTCTCTTCTGGGAGAAAGCGTCTGGATTCAAAGAGTCTATGCGATACAAGAAACTCACCAACGCCCAGAGGTCAGGTCTTAACCAGATCCCTAACCGTCGATTCACGCTTTGGTGGAGTCCGACCATCAACCGCGCCAACGTCTATGTCGGTTTCCAGGTCCAGCTTGATCTGACGGGTATTTTCATGCACGGCAAGATTCCCACCCTCAAGATCTCACTGATTCAGATCTTCCGTGCGCACTTGTGGCAGAAGATTCACGAAAGTGTAGTCATGGACTTGTGTCAGGTCTTTGATCAGGAGCTAGAGCCTCTCCAGATCGAGACAGTACAGAAGGAGACTATTCACCCTCGTAAGAGTTACAAGATGAATTCATCTTGCGCCGATATCTTGATGTTCTCAGCCTACAAATGGAATATCTCTCGGCCTTCATTGGTCATAGATGTTGGTCACTTTCAATACCCCATTGGACTTTGATCTGATCTCTCCGTTTTTTTAGAACAAGGACGTTTTGGATGGCACGACCAGCAACAAGTATTGGATTGACGTTCAGCTTCGGTGGGGTGACTTCGACACCCATGATATCGAGCGGTGTACTCGTGCCAAGTTCTTGGACTACGTGTCCGACTCCATGAGTATCTACCCCTCACCAACTGGTGTTATGATCAGCATAGATCTAGCCTATAACCTGTGGTCTGCGTACAGCAACTGGTTCCCCGGTATGAAGCCTCTGATTCAGCAAGCCATGGCCAAGATCATGAAGGCCAATCCGGCATGCCACGTCTTGCGCGAGCGTATTCGCAAGGGTCTCCAGTTGTACTCTTCTGAGCCCACGGAGCCTTATCTCAACAGCCAGAACTATTCGGAATTATTTTCGAACCAGATCATTTGGTTCGTCGACGACACTAATGTGTATCGTGTCACTATCCACAAGACGTTCGAAGGTAACTTGACGACTAAACCAATTAACGGCGCCATCTTTATCTTCAACCCATGTTCTGGACAGTTGTTCCTGAAGATCATCCACACCAGTGTCTGGGCTGGCCAAAAGCGTCTCGGTCAACTCGCAAAGTGGAAGACTGCCGAAGAAGTGGCTGCATTGGTTCGTTCACTGCCTGTTGAAGAACAGCCGAAGCAGGTCATTGTCACTCACAAGGGCATGTTGGACCCTCTCGAGGTTCATTTACTTGATTTCCCGAACATCGTTATCAAGGGAAGTGAGTTACAACTGCCCTTCCAGGCTTGCATGAAGATGGAGAAGTTCGGTTCCTAGTAAGTGGGTCCACGCGTATTTACATCTTCATTGCTGATGCTGTTTCTCACAGCGTGCTACACAACCTCAAATGGTACTGTTCAGCTTGTACGACGACTGGCTCAAGTCGGTGTCCAGCTACACTGCCTTCTCTCATCTTATCCTCCTCCTTTGTGGCTTGCACGTCAACAACGAGAAGGCGAAGATTATTTTGCACCCGGACAAGTCGACCATTACAGAGCCTCACTTCGTCTGGCCCACTCTTACAGATGATGAATGGATCAAGGTTGAGGTTGCAATGAAGGATCTTATACTGGCAGTAAGTAATATCACACACTTTTTGAACTTTGACTCATCGAGTCCAAGGATTTCGGCAAGCGGAACAGCGTCAACATCGCGTCCTTGACTGCGAGTGAAATTCGTGACATCATTCTTGGTCAAGAGATTGCTGCTCCCTCCGTACAGCGCCAGCAGATGGCTGAGCTTGAAAAGAGTAATGAGGCGCAGGGTGTTACCGCTGTGCAAACTCAGACCACCAACGTTCACGGTGAAACGATTCAGACCGTCACGACAACCAACTTCAGGTGTTTAGCAGCAAATCTGATTGGCGTGTCCGTGCCATCTCTGCTACGCATCTTCCTCTCCATCTCCAACATATCTATGTCTCCAATGATGATATCAAGGACGACGCTGCTTCGTACACCCATGTATTGCTGAAGAACATCCTGCAGGCATTCATCACTGCAGCAGATCTTCGCACTCAGGTTGCGGCCTTCCTGTACAGTGTATCACCAAGCAGGTCGAGGAGATCAACGAGTACCTCGGCGTGAAAGTAACAATAGCATTGAGCTGCCCAACCAGTTGCCGAGGGACGACTTCCTTCTCAAAGATCTCGGACCTCCTGGGTGGGTCAAGACGCAAGCGCTTGAACTCAGTCATCTTTCTCCCACAGACGTCACCATTCAAGCCAAGCTGATGTCTGGATCCAAGATGCCGTACCTGGTTCGGATTCACATTACGGCTGACAGAACGCAATATGTAACGTTTTTTGGCGCTGCCTTGTTGTTTCCGCGCGGCCGCAAATAATTGACGCTCAGGTTGACGGCCGCAAGTGCTGCTTAACGGGAGGCAATGCTGTAGGCAGGTTGTGGTTGGACCACGGCCTTCAAGTCGTCTTAGTACTAGTAGGTCCCTGCATCAACTCTCCCCTTTTTATATCAACTGTTCACAATCACAGTAGTTCAATACCTCCCTTCAAGCTTACTGCTCGTACTCATTCTGCTTGTCATTTGTTGAGGACCTCTCGTTCGACGACACTCTCCTGATAGATACCAGGACTGTAATCATCATGCCATCAGATACTCAATCTACAGCTCACAAAAAAGCTGCTGCGTCCGCGCCTTCGAAGGATTCATTATCAAGGACGCCACATGCCATTGACTGGTAGGTCCCACCATGTGTTCGTCCCTCTATTTCTTCCAAAGAGAATGTAGGCAGTGCTGCATATACTTCTTCATCATCTACTGCATCTCCGGCACTTGAAAAGCGCGAAGAATCCGCAGGCACATCCACACTCCTTTCGCAAAGTTATTCCAGGTGCAGCAGTCTCCGGTGTCGCTCTCAATCTAAAGATCACGCTTCATTTGTAGAGTCTTCTGAGATCAAACGTGTCAAGAAACCCAAAGAGAGCTTCTTGGCCACGTTCTTTTGCAAGCTCTTCTGCTGCGTCAGAGTCGATTCCCGAGCTCATGACATCGACGTCGATGGTGTGGCAAGCGTTGGGTCGGGTCCTACTTTACTGGCTCACAAGACCGCAGACAATGCTGTGAAGCAATTTTCTGAAAAAGCACCGGTCGCATCCTCAGGTCAACCTGCTGTACCTCTTAAGGACTTGCTAGAGACTGCGGGCGCTACCAGTAGGGCCGTACAACTGCCAGGTTCTTCTGTTCCTGGTCAAGTATTAAAGACCTCTGCAAGTCACCCATCCGAACATGGTAACGAGTCGGATGATGTTTCGTTTGATGAGTTAAGCGAGGAAGATTAAATGCTGATCAGGAATGGGGGTGCAGGCATTCCCATGGGCTCTGTGAGTGGATCTGTAGTCCAATGGATATATTTCTGACTTGGAATTTACAGGACGGAAAGCCATGGCCACTTCTCCCACCCATCGCGCCTAAACATGTTGGCAAGAAGTGTTTAGTGCTTGACCTGGACGAGACCCTCGTCCATATTAACATCATGGTATATCTTTCACTCCGATTTTATACCTGCTTTTGACGTACCTCGCTGTCAGCCCATACCAGATCCAGACTTTGTCGTTCCTGTCCAAATTGAGCATCAATGGTACAACATGTATGTACAGAAGCGACCAGGAGTAGACGAGTTTCTTCGACAGATGGGTGAGCTGTACGAAGTAGTAGTGTACACCGCAAGTCTGGGTTCCGTGCGTTCATTACAGGTGGCTGGGTTCTAAAATTCAACTGATGTCTTTCTCTTCCTTGTTTCGTCTCATTTAGTATGCAGATCCGGTGATGGACCATCTCGATATCTACAATGCCGTTTCGCATAGGCTTTCGAGTTGGGCCGCAAGAATGTGGATAATTCTGCCAACCTACATATACTGCACCAGTGGGTAGGGCGAAAAGTTTCTGCTGGCATAAGGTGCCGTCCTAACACTTTCTTTTGATACTTAGGGTTCGTCTACTGCTGTGGGGGCAGTAGTCTCTGATATAGACCTCTAGCTCGCAGCATAAATATATTTGTGGGCTATATATATCGATAATTTACTTATGATATCTATGGAACTTGTCATTGCGGTTGCTTTCTGGTCTACTTGTTGAGTTGAGCGTGCTGATGACTACGTCATAAAATTCCCAAAAAGGAAGTTTGGTTCGATTGTCTTTGTACTCTCCGTACTACTATGGCACGAACAACCTTCAGTCACAGGTTCCTGGCTTGAACATGGTAAGCTCAACTGTGCCTCTTGGACGTGCTCATGATTAAGAGTCTAACATGGTTTAGACAACTTACAGTTCTCAGCAACAGATTCTCAATCATGTGGTTGGTATTTGGCCAACGCAACTCCCGCAGTACGCTGAAGTGATGATGCTGTGAGTACCCGTCTGCGAGTAGGATTGCATTCGATTGACTTTTTCTGCGTACAATTAGTGATGATATACCTGAAGATACTTCCGTTGGTAGGAAGAAAACTGATGTCCCTAGGTTAGTTTCTTTTCTTCATAATGGATTCACTTCAACGCCATCAACAGGCCCTTAAAATATGGGAATTGGGAGGAATTTGTCCACCCGTTAGGTGGTACATACTACTATCATAAGGACAAGGTGAGTGCTGCCTAGCTAATCATATAAGTGATAAACTCGATAAAAATTTAGAGAACGTATACTTCGGTAAACCTAAGGTGGTACCAGGATCCCCAGAAGATCGATGACTTTGTCGATGCATTACGAGCTGTGACGCAAGAAGATGCGTGGATACTGGTCGTTCATCCAACGATGTTCAGAGGAGAAGAAAAGTTCCAATATTACTACGTGGTTCTGGACCAGCGTATCATTGCCTGGATAGAGGAACTAAACGGTCACCTTCTTTTCCGCGACTGTGTCCAGCCAAGCCAATGGGAACATAAGAGTCAGTACCTTATCTTTGAATTTTTCTTTGAGACCGATTGCAATCATGTAGGACTCGAACTCGAGGCTCAGTATTGGTAAGTGGTCGGATGTGCCAACCTGATTGATCAAAAGACTTCTCACTGTCGGCAGGAAACACTTTGAATTCTTTCCGCAGCAGTCGTCGATGGATGTTTCGGTTGTGAGAAGCGTACGGAGAGAAGTTATTTGCTATATTGGAGGTAAGCTTTATATCACGGGGATGGCAAGAATCACTTAGCAGGCACAGAAGCAATTACGTTGAGTCAATCCACGGCCGGTTCGATATTCTGGACCCTGGAGCAAATGAAGCAAATCATCGAACATCTAGCCAGTATCGGTTCGTACTTGTATCTAGTCCTGCATAGCATTTTTATAATGAAGAAACAGAAGACCTTGCAGACAATGGGCTCATACATGAAACCGGTATCGTGTTCTGTTGTATGTGAGTCCTGGAAAGCTGAATTCAAGTACTGATATCCCAATTCACAGGTAGAATTTTATACATCTTACGTGCGTTGCTTTCTCACAAACCCTATCGTCATCAAGTAAATGAACGTTTTAGGGCACCATCAGTATCTTAACCGCCACAACCAACCAGAAGCTCGACTGATTCGGAACCATGCAGTGAAAGAGAAGCGTAGAAACTGTAAACTTCTTTGTTTCATGAGCAATACTGCAGCTACAGTCTTCTGCATGCCGGTGAAGGTACAACAATTCAGAGAGTGAGTCTGAACAATGTTGGGTCTTGCAGAACCTAGCTGCTATTCGACCCTAAAGGGTTTCTGGACCAGGCTCAAGGCTCAGAGAAGAGGAAATATGATAGAAAACTACTGAAGACTCTGACTCCTACTGGTAACTGGTGAAAAGATAACTTGCTTATGTAAGCTACAAAAGTGCCAACATAAGGTAAGGTAAAAACAGTCTCTACAAGCCCAGCCAGAAATGAATCCCTACACCGGTCATGATCAAAAGCGTCAAGAGGACTTCCGTCGATGGTATCGTGAATGGAGTGGAGGTCAAAAACTTTGTCGACAATCTTAGCAATCAGACGAAAAGTCAAATTACCTTGGTAGGCGCTACATCAATGAGGGTATCCACCCACTTATTCACCCACAGGCTGGTGTCTCCATGGCCTTGGACATCGCCATCCTTGCTGTTCCAGGTTTAGGCACAACAGTGACCTCACAGACGTTATGTTCTTGCTCTTTACTTTTCGGTGTTGGCTGCATTTTTGCTGGCACGATGGTGCAACATTTCGGCGAGAGAATGAGATCCATTGACTTTGCGGTTCGATTCACACTATTTTTTCTCAAGAACAAGCCTGATATTACTGACTGGACAGGTATATTACCTGCAAAAGAGGACGGCGGTGCTTGTCATCATTACAAGCATACCGACTTCTTTTTGTGTATTGAGGTAAGCAAACTTCGATCGTGATTATTTGTGTCACTTATGGTTCGGTAGTGTGACAAGCTCCATCCTCGGATTCTTCGCAGGTGTTGCTTCAGACTTCAGACCATCTACACCTCTAATGATTGCGTGCTTCACTACGCTCGGTGTTGTGGTAGGTTCTTTAATTATATTGGTGATTGCTAGTTATGGTCCTGGCCTGGCCAGGATACGGCCGCAGTAACATCTTGTCCTGAAATTATTCTGCGAGAGTATTGCAAATATAGGATGGATATGTCCCACGCGAGTCGCATTACGAAGATAGGAGTCACCAATGTTGTCTGCGCCGCGACATCATGCGACACGGTAACACTACGGTATTTTTTCTGTACTTAGGTCCTCAAATTCGTCGTCATCGTCCGCTAAGAAAGACAGTCAGTTTATTGAAGGGGAGCACACGCCGGACATACATTGAATGGGAGAAGGGGCGTCCCATGGGATCTGACCAGGAGATGTACTGGTTACATTTGGCACATATTCCTGCAAGATTCTGGCACGATAATTTTCTTCCAGCCAACGCAACCTGTATTTTTTGTACAGCTCTTCAAGTCGTGCGCAACCCAACTCTGCACGTCGCAGTCGTTCTTTAACATCAGCCATGGACTCCTCGCGGCTCTCTGTCGTAGGGCAGTCCTTGTCAATATTTACCTCTCTGATCTATGATGAGCTTCGAAAATGATTGATGATAGTATCTGACACTTACCTTACGCTGGCGAATTCCTCAGGCTTGGACCCGCCACTTTGTTTGTCAGTGATATCGTGCACTAACTCAATCCTGACACATAGAATTAGCAAGTCCAGTCTTTGACAAGTAAGCCATTAAGTTTACCGGAGGTTCAGATTAATAACATGTCCAGAGATCTGACACGATGATGATTGTTGCATATCCAGGTTCAGCATAGGCAATGGTAGCCTAGCTGCGATATACAAGAAGATGCAAAGTCCAAGAACGCTTTTATCCTTCGGGTCCTTTATTAGCACTTTTTTCGGACCATGGAGCTTATCACCATCGATTTTACGAAAGGTTACTCGGTCCCGACTCCCGGTAGGCCATCCCATCATTGCGGCTACTAATACCTAGCTGTCACTCACCCTGGCCACTGCTTGACTGGCATCAGGCACCCCGCAATTTGACGAAAGGTTGTTCGTTTCCGGCAGGCCATCCTGGCCCATAATCACTGCGGCTACTGCCTAGCCATCAGCCACCCTGGCCACTGCTTGGCTGCTATCAGGTACGCCGCTTACTGGAATATCACGTGGTGTGCTGCTGGAAATAAAAAGCTAGATTTTAGTATCTGTGATGCTCGAGCTACTTTTGACTCGCGAGCTCTCATGACCACTGAAGAGACCATATCTACCATTCCGAGCAAGCGTGCTACATCGGCCCTTCAAATGGGACCCCACAAAAAAGCGTAAGCTGCCCTTGTTCGACACAGGTTTTGCAGACTTATTCTGTCGCCCAGCTCTATGTCCGATCCTCTTATATCCCATGGGCGTCACTTCGGTCGAACAGTATTTGCACTATGTAATTATCCTTCTCTACTCACCAACGGCATCCTTAGATTGGAGCAGATGGAAGATACTCCTTTGGAAGACTTCCCTGCTGAGTGAAACACATTGTCTCTATTGACTTACTGTTGTCTGATTTTTTGGTAGAGAACGACGAGAACATCGAGTTTTCGAACAGCTCTTGGACTCTTATCCTGGCCTGTTGGAGCGACTGAAAACCGGGTCTGAGGAGGAAATTATTCATGTTGGAAAGCTGGTGAGTTGTTTTCTGCGTGGCTAGACTTCGTGCTTACAATTCATAGATCAGTAAGGGAGCTGCAGGCGCGAGAGGTGATGATACGAAAACGTTGAAGTCTGCAGTGCTCGATTGGATTTCTCCGAAAGGGGCAGCAATTCAGCCCCCCCTACACAGGAACTCAAAGATCGATCGGGGATTCAACCACGAGCTTACCGGATCACTGCTTTGTCCTGCTGGGTTGGACTGGAAGGACGCAGAGTATGTTTTCGTTTTCTTTTTTCTAGCATCGGTAGTCCTGACAACATTTTTTGCGCTTGATTCTCAACAGAACGAGAGAGAACCTCCGAAGTGGCGAAATGTTAGTCTGTGGGGACCAATGGCCCATTTTCTTATACGCCCACCATACGTTTGATGCGGATGACCCATGGTGCGGTCTTCTTAGGAGCCACTTGTTGGTATGTGTGAGTAGGCAAATGTATTTTTACATAGTTCACTACTGATTGCTTGCACGTCAGGCCTACAAGCATGTCTTTATGTCTCCAAGTTCGGTCAACAAAGAACCGAAAGCCACGCGGTCCGGGAATGCTCGCCTTCATGGCATGAATTCCGTCACCATCGCGTCCATAGCTTACGTTGCAACTCAGGTTCGTCGATGCATGTCTTTCTCGTTGAATAGCTGATAGCTGACATACATGCAACCGAAGGTCCGATTTGCTATAAGTTCTTCTTCGGTGTTCTCAAGGACCGACACAACGACCGACTCAGAAACGTTTTATCATAGCCTCCTCGACCTCTTCGAAGATCCTGAGGAATCTAAGGAGGTTGATGACCTACTCACTTGGTGGAATCGGTATTTTTTATTACTCTTCGTTATATCACTGAGGCTCATGCATTGTTATGTGCCAGCCAAGTGTTTCCCACTTCCTCTGCCGCTAAACGACCTATCAGCGCCAACAGTGCCTTATCGAAAATACGGCTCAAACGTCTTACGATCAAACAAGCTACAGATTCAAACTTAATTTCATTGTAGTCTTTCTAGAAACATGTTTTCGTATAATAAATTACAACTAATATAAGCATAAGCATGTTGTCGTCAACTAGAGCACTCGAGTGACCAGAAGATAGACCTACAGCCAATAATAATCTGAAATAAGCCGAGATGAATTGTAATAGCCCTACCTCTGCAACAAGCTAGCGGATGGTACCACGTCGTCATCGTCCCGCACTCTTGTAACGAACGCAGCTCGGTCCAGAACAAACTAACGTCGCAAGGCCTTATATAGCGTCAGAGTTTATCAAGACTTCGTGGAGAATAGACTGACTAACCCACCTTACACCTAATGACCATACCTTGGCAGTGAGCTGGCAGATAGTATCGCGTCGTCATCGCCCCGCATCCTTGCACCAAAGGGAACTCGAACCAGAACACACTAACGTCACAAGACCTTATCTAGTGCCAGAGATTATCAAGAGTTTGTAGAGAACAGAATGACAGACTCACCTTGGACCTAACGACCATATCTCGGCAGTAAGCTGGCGGATGGTATCGCGTCGTCATCGCCCCGCATCCTTGCACCGAAGGGAGCTCGATCCAGAACACGCTAATGTCGCAAGACCTTATCTAGCGCCAGAGTGCATCAACAGTTTGTGGAGAATGGACTGACTGACTCACCTTGCACCTAACGACCATATCTCGGCAGTGAGCTGGCAGATGATACCGCATCGTCATCGCCCCGCATCCATGTACTGAAGGGAATTCGGTCCAGAACACGCTAATGTCACAAGACCTTATCTACTGCCAGAGTTTATTAAGATTTTGTGGAGAATGGAATGACTGACTCACCTTGCACCTCACGACCATACCTTAGCAGTAAGCTGGCGGATAGTACCGCATCGTCATCGTTCCGCATCCTTGTACCAAAGGGAACTCGGTCCAAAACAAACTAATGTTGCAAGACTTTACCTAACGCCAACATCAAGGGAGGATTTGTCGAAGTTCCATTGAAAAGCATAGGTTGCATGTGATAAGCGGATTGAAACTGCATTATAATCGCTTTACACATTTGGGCCGTTGGCAGCTTTGATCCAAAGCAGTCCGGCCATATAAAAAATTATCTGATGTTAGCATTCATCTAGAGATTGCGCAACAGCCAAAGGTCACATACCACGACCAGGGCATGGCAGAATGATAGTGTATCACCGCTAGTGCTCAACTAGGTGACTGTGGTGACTTTGGGCAACTTAATAATTCATTCTCACGGCTGGTGGGTATTGCAATCTGTTGACAAAATGGCAGATAATTGCAACGAGACTGCACAAATGTGCATTTGGTAGTTTCTATCCAACGTAGTCCAGGTATTCAAAGCTCTGTCATTTGAAGTACAATTGTGATATATATTGTACGAATTTTACTTTAAATAAACCTTTCTAACACTTTACCATTTTCGCGTCGCTTTCCTGATGATATCTACACCAGTCAACACTGATTCCACATACTCTGGCCAGCTGGAGTTTGCATACTCCAGCCAGTGACTGGCTGGCCATGATTCTACAGACTTTTGGCACATCTGGAGCTAGGGTTCTACATGGAAAGTGACTGAAGGGTCTGAAAGGGTATAGTAGCCTAGAAACGATTGACTCGCCAAGTACTAGCAAGGTTATCAATGCATTCCAGATCCACACCCAAACTTGCCCTGTCAAACACACCTGACGCAGCCGAACAATCTCTGTATCACCAGATAGAAACACAAGGCACGAAGCGAAAGAAGATGAGTGAATTTGACCACATTACCTTGCGGGGCAAGGTCATGTTGCATGATTCAGATAATCAATTAATCTGTCAAGTCACCTGACATGAACCATCCTGCTGTGCAATCACGTGGGAGTCGGGGATCTAGCACAAATGCCATCATCATATGCACAAGTTCGCCTCCCACATCCATATCAATATGACCATAGTTTCAAATGATCCTATTTAGTGGCCAACCATCAATGCATATAGTTTTTTCGAGGTTCGTAGAGTGTGGTCAGATGCTGAAGCTGATGTCCCTTGGCTGCAGTTTCGCAGTTGCCACCTTTGTTGGAGTGACGTGTGATTGGGGTGAGCATTATAATATTACGTAAAGGACTGCTGAGCACTTACATTCGGACTTGAAGAAGTATGTCAATGACTGCAAGAAATTTGAGTTGTTTGATTCATAGGAATGAATGTTTGCGAACCTAGGCTCCCATGAGTTTGTGACGAGAGCTCGTCAAGCGATATTTCCAGTGTGAATGCTTTGTCGGAACATTGTCAGAACGATAATCACTGTCCGATATCTACATTTGTCTGAACCTCCTTCAATGGACCGATGTTCACCCTTATAACTTTAAGTGTCATAATGATTGTGTTCAAGACATGGCTTCGAAGGTGTCGCAGATTTGGCGCATAGGGAATG